TGGATCTCGCCTCTGGTGACTCGATGCCTTCTTCTTGTTGCTTCCTTTTCCTCTGAGCTCCTAATGGCAAGGGTGAAAGGACACCTCTTCTAACCCCTACCTCTTGTGGTCGACGACGCCTAGGTGACCTCCGTTGCCATCTCCTGCTGCCTCCAAATCTTCGGTCCTTCCTCCCTTCTTCTCCTCGCCTTCTCCTTCTTCTAGCTCGGGTGTGGGAGAGAGTGTAGAGAGAGAGAGTGGAAGCTAGAGAGAGAGTGAGAGTGTGAGAATGGATGGATGAGCTGGTGCTTCTCCTGCTTTGGCATTCTCACAAGACGGACAGTTGTGCTGGCATGTGGGGCCAGGTGATTTACAAGGTGACACCTCATGGTTCTGCATGGGATGATTCTATCGGACGTTACGACATGGTCGTGGATTCTCCAGTTGTGTCAGTGTGTTGGCTATCGACAAGTCAGCAAACTGGCGGATAACCCAGTGGTGCTTGTGGATTCTCCGTCAATTCAATAGTGAGCAGTTTAAGTTGTTGGTTTCAGTTTCTATCTACTTGAATTCAAATGCAGAGGATGCTCATGATGTTGATGCTCACAAAGTGTTAGAAACGGGTCTTGACATAAAGAATACAAATAAAGATATATGCAACATGGTATTAAAAGGTACTTTTTAGCAACATGAAACTAAGGGGGCTAGAGCATTGGGCCTTTTCTTATGGTGCTCTAGTTTCTCTCCATAAGGACTTATCTTTAAGTGGCAACCCAAGACTTACATTACAACCGTGAGGACCATATGGCTCTGGTCTTAGTCCAGTACCTTGTTCCTTCTAGTTTGTAGTAGCTTACCGAAAGGGCAAGAGGGGCATACCAGGCTAGGTATGGACCTCATCCCTAAGGTGTGTACTATGCTGCGAGTATTAGTGTCATTCTTGGAGATAACTCCATAACACTTGGAACTTAGCGGCTGCTCCTTATTAGAACGACTAAGGAAAGCTTCGTAGTGTACCATGCCTACTTACCTTGGAAGTCTTAGGGGGTCGACGGGCCCCGGGCAAATGGGAATCACGACTCGTGGTGAAAGTGTACAACATTTGCAGAGTGTAAAACTGGTATATCAGCCGTGCTCACGAACACGAGCGGACATGGATCCTTACTGAATAGTTGGTTACTCAGATGATTTGGGTTATGTTTAAAATTACTGATATATCTAATTATTCATATTCGGAAGTCTAAGCATAACTTAACAACTTATGTTTGATAATAAAATATGACCAACTAAAAATGCTAACCACAGTTCAGCCATATCAAGCCTTTTGAGCCTGCATCTCCTCGTGTTATGTTTGCTAAGCGATTGTAGCTTACGCTTGTTTTATTTCAATTCTTTGGAAAATCCCTGATGGATACAAGATGGAGGTTCTTCAGTGAAGTTTTCCAAGAGGTTTAGGTTTGTGATCAACTAGTTGACGATTCCTGTGGTGTTGGAGGCTTCGCCAGAAGATAGTTATAGTGTATAATATGATGTAAGACTATGTCTTTTTGTGATGAATACTTACACGCTATGTAATAAAGGCATTTTCTATGATATTACCCTTTCATTTGTAACTATATGTGTGAATTGAATTTCTAGGCACATATATGTGATGTACCTAGTTTTGTTCTTAAAACTGGATGCTAAGTAGTAGTAGGAGCTGGAGGGGGGAGGAGAGAGAGTTTTGGCTTTTATGAACAGTGTTTTTGCAGGCTTTTGCATGTAGTTACAAAGAGGCCCTTAGGTCGTCATCTGTAATGTTCACATGAATCCACGGGCCGGCGGTCAGTACGATTCTTTGGTTATGGTCTTCAATTTAAGGTTGTTGTTTATTACCTACAAAAATTGCTTAATGAGGACGTTACCATTACTTCATCTCCCACTTAAGTTTACGTATCTCATTATCTAAAAAAAACTTAAGTTTACGTATCTATATACAGATCAATGTAGACCCGGGCAAATCAAGTTACTGATGACTGCAGATGTGCGTTGTCTTGACTATTGGTTGATTCCTTTTAAGTGCAATGAAAAGTGAAGACTAGGCCCCCTTTGGTAGATTTTTTTTTTTTTTTTGCTCAGCTCCACGAACAGTTCCACCGGTGGAGCTGAAGTGGTTTTGGTAAACCGTTTGACAAAATGGCTTCCCTGTGAGAGCATGTTTTTAGGGGCCTGGAGGAGGAGCCGGGAGAAGCTATTTTTTTTTACTCCATCCCACCCCAAATCATTTTGAGAGCATGTTTTTACGGGCTTCACCAGTGAAACTATTTCACTTTACTCCGTTTGGCAGAAAACAGCTCTAAACAACTTCTAAAGCTGTTGAAGAAGCCCTGCCAAACGGTTTCGGTCTTTGAAACTGGAAGTGACGTACCGTTTCTCCTTCGAATCAAGAAGAAATTCGTCCCTTTCCTTCTGGAAGATGCAGAAGTATGCCAATTAATTAATAATTCTCTGAAAGTGCTACTCTTGCTTAGGCCGTATATTACTATTTAGAGTGAAATCCACCGAGGCTCTTTAAACTTGTCGTGCGTTCTCAAATAGGTTCATGTACTTCTAAAACCAGATTTTCAGGTCTCTAGACTTGCTAAATGTATCAGCAAAGGTCCAAACCAGTTTTGAAAGACTGTTTTTGCACACGTGGCAGCCACATGTCTAGGGCGCAAGGCCTGCGCTCCAGCGGCAGCGTGGCGCGGTGACAAGCAGTGGCAGGCGCTGAGCATGGCCGGCCTGACCTTCCTGAAGTATGGCGGCGGCGAGGCTAGGCTACGCTCTGCGTGGCGGACCCGGCCGTGAAGAGATCTCCAGCAACTTCGCGCCTCTGCCCTATGCCCTGGGTCTCGAACCTGGCGATCGCTGGCAACTTCGCGCCGGTGGGCGAGCAGCCGCCCATGCGGTCGTTGCTTGTGTCCGGCTGCATCCCGTCCTTCATCGCCGGCGTATACGCGGCTACGCGCGCAATAGAATGGGTATACGGGCCACCACCTGTTGGACGGCGAGTGAATAGTTCGGTGCTTGCATGCATGGACAAAGAAGCTAGTGAGTAGTTGGGTGCTTGCATGCATGGAAGAGCCAAGTCAAGGATTAGTGGATCGACTAGCGAGTCGTGATCACCATTAGCACTAGCAGCAGCTGCCAGCAGATCGTCGGCGTGGCCAGGTCGTCGTCGTCGGCTCTGGTCGTCCTCGGGGTTCTGGCCGCAGCAGTGGCGTGCTCCGCGACGCGGCCCGTCGCCGCGCAGCAGCAGGCGGCGTCGGCTTCGTCGGCAGAGGAAGTGAAGTGGCCGGACACGCTACAGGAGGGGACATCTCGGCGGGCTGGACCACAGTATCTCCGCCGCAGACCACGGGGCAGTTCATGCCCGGCGCCGACGAGGCGACGACACCTGGGTGCCCGACCCCGGCTTCGAGGTCCCCAACCCCTTCCTCCCCGGCGCGGCCACTCCCTGAACACGTACCTGCGCCGGGATGGAGCACACCAAGTTCAAATGAATGGGCTGGAGCACGAGGCCGGCGGCTGGCAAGCACGGGCCCAGCGCCCACCACCTGCTAGGGTCCGGCGCCTGGGGCACAGCGCGGGGGCGCTCGAGGCGGCTAGTGATGACGCCCGATTCCAAAGCGTCTAGTGCCGCCGCTGCCACAGCCACAACCGCGCCGCAGGAAGGTCGGGCCTTGCTCGGCGCCTGCCACTGCTCGTCGTCACGTCGCACCACTGCTGGAGCGAGGGCCTTGCACCCTAGACACGGTGGCCGCCACGTGTGCGAAAACAGCCTTCCAAAACCGGTTTGGACCTTTGCTGGTACGTCTAGCAAGTTTAGGGACCTGGAAATCTGGTTTTAGAAGTACGTGAACCTATTTGAGAACATATGACAAGTTTAAGGACTTCGGTGGATTTCACTCTACTATTTATCTATTTTGTCTTTTCTTGTGCAATACTTTCGGGCTTCTGAGCCTGTGTTGTAGACCTCGGACGAGAAGATAAGCAAGAATCACCATGTCAGCAATGTGCATGCATCCCCTGCTCCTGCACGTATAGATTCATTCGTTCATAATTAGTACATGATTAATGGCCGTTACTGCAGTGTGCTGAAGCGGTTGCTCCTACGAGTGGACAAACTGCATTCGGATCAGATCAGAACTCCTTGGTACGGAGATTATTGTTAACCAAAACCAAGCCGAAATGGATTGTTTGATCCTCACTCAAAATATGCAGTGTGCGACGGTTGTTGCGCAGTACATATCAACAAGTTGGTTTAATTAGTGGATTGATGATCAGATCACACAAGCAAGCGTTTGCGGACATTATTGTCTCTTGACCAAGCGCACTTATGTGCTACTCCTATCAGTTATGTACCTTTCAGCCATATATTACTCGATGGATGTGAGACGACGATAGATAGGGTAGCTATAGACAGAGCAGTTCACACAGGCAGACAGCGACGTGCGTTTCATTGCCTGTTAAAAATTTAGGGCAATACATGTTCAAATTAAGCCACAAACTAAAATAGTGCGGCCGGGGTTGTCCTGGCATCGATCGAATTCCCACGAAACACACAACACGACAATTTATTACGTAGCTGCTTGGCAGCTGAACTCTTCCCCTAAGTTTTCTTGACATATAAACGTAGATGTCGTCGACGACTAGACGATAGAGACGCAGTTTACATGCATGCTTGGTCAACTGGTTCAGCGCGGGTTCTGCCGCTTAGCTCGTTGGCGTGATATAAGCCCGGGAGACGCGACCAAACCTCTCCAGTAATCCCGCTCCTTGCTCTGCTCCCAATCTCCTTCCTCTGCATTCTGTGATTCTGTCGCCTCCCTCTCCCTCTCTCGGTCCCTCCCACAGTCCCACCTGATCATCCACCATAAATAGCTCGTGCCGGCCGGCCGGCCAGTGCAGGTGAAGGTAGCCGCACGGTGCGAAGCTAGCTAGCTTGGAAAGGGCCACCGGGACGATCAGGACAGGACGAGGGCGGGCCGATCGAAGCCATGGGGCGGTCGCCGTGCTGCGACAAGACGAGGGTGAAGCGGGGCCCGTGGTCGCAGGAGGAGGACGCCATCCTCAGGAGCTTCGTCCAGAGGTTCGGCAATGCCGGCAGTTGGATCGCCCTACCGCAGAAAGCAGGTAACTAGCTTGCCTGAGTTTATTTTCTATTCTTTGGCTTTTAACACTTTTCCTACCTCTTAGTCGCCTGACTGCTCAGGCCGTCAGGCGATCAATCTATATACCGTGAGTCTGTGACTGTTCAGCAAACCTTTTTTTTCGAAAGAGGCAGCAAAAGCTTTGCCGTTCATTTTATTAGACGAAGAAAAGCAAAAAAAAAAAAAAGAAAGAAAGCAAAAGAGAGTTACAAAATATTTACAGCACCAGACCCCTGTTCAGCAAACCTAACAGTCACATGTTGATCACATGAGAGAATACTAATAGTTATTAGTGTTGCCTGAAAAAAAATACTATATTTCAGGCATTTGAAGCATAGTAAATCCTTCTCTTTTTTACCACCACCAAGAACCATTGCTTTCCGCGTGAATGCAAGCTGCAAACATCAGTGGAGTTGGTGGCGCACGGTAGTAGTCAAAGGCTTAGGTTTGGTCCATTTAGGTTTTTTACAAGCTGCGGTTTGGTGGAATAATTCTCTTTGATTTGTGAATCGTCATCTCTGGTTAGGTTGACGAAGCGTAGTTTAACTGACCGTACGTATGCAAGCAAGCTTACGATTGAGTTACTCAATCACAGTACTCGTTAATTTGATTATTGTCTCGTACGTACGTCAGGGCTGAAACGATGCGGTAAGAGCTGCCGTCTTCGCTGGCTCAACTACCTCCGCCCGGAGCTCCGACACGGCGGCTTCACCGACGAGGAAGACAACCTCATCCTGTCCCTCTACGGCGAGCTTGGAAGCAAGTACGAATGCATGCTTTATCTATGGGCTAACGTATGACAACAAACCATGCATGAGAGGCATGCATGGCTAACAGCTAACTGCATGCGCATGCACTATGCACAGGTGGTCGGTGATAGCGTCCAAGCTCCCCGGACGGACGGATAACGACGTCAAGAACTACTGGAACACCAAGCTCAAGAAGAGGTACTTGGCGTCCACAAAAGAAGCAGGAAAGCCGCCATCATCACCACCAGCGGCGCCTCCTAGCGGCGATGATAGCGCCGCCGCCGCCGGCAGTGATCACCAGGCCCAACAAGATGAACCCCTTCTTCCGCTGACACCTCCAGCCCTCACTGATCTCGATACAGCCTTTGCCGACTCGGGTGCTGCCGTCGTCGACGACGACATGCTCCTCTTCAAGTCCGAGCAGCTGTACGCCGAGCTCGTGGGTCTCGTCGAGAAGCAATTGCAGACCACGACTGGACAGTCCACTGGCAGGGACGAAGCTTCGACAGCGACGCCGTTGTCCGCGTCGTTCTCGTCTGGAACATCAAGCAGTCCGACGGTTAGCAGCTCAGGTAGCTGCACCTTGTGGCCCATGGACGTGCATGACACAACGCTGCTGTCCGAGTCCACCACCGGCCTGTTCGACGCTTACGGTGTTGGTGACGCGTTCGGAGAGGCGGCTCTGCCTGCGTACTCCTTCCAAGACCTGCTGGCGGCCTCGTCTTACGACGATGTTACTGCTGCGGTGGCGCAGGATTTGCTGTACTACCAGTAGTGCTAAAGGCACACCATGGCTTGGTAAACTAGATGCTAGGCAGTGGTTAGACGATGATGACGAGAAGAGACGTCATGATGTTCGTACGTGCATACACTCCCAGACTCCCTTGCATAGTTGCATTGGTTCCTCCAGTCAATATTACTTGACGTCGACAGCAGCAAGCAAATGTTCACCAAAACTTGATTTGTCTCCACTCGAGAAGGCCGAGGTCCTGTCCACGTGGAAAGATTGAATATAAGGGAACCTCGGTATTCATATTCGACCAATAAAGAAACATTTCATAACAAAAAGAAAACTCTCCAAAAATTTGCGTGGGCAATACTCAAAAACTAGGTGAACCTAAAAGTTTTCGGGGCTCACAGAGCTTTCCACCCTTGGGAAACACCGGATATTTGCAGATTTGCACTATAGAACCCACTGAGGGTTAATAAATCTGATTTGTTTGCAGCCATGTTAATCCACGTCATCATTTCTGTTGCAGACGTCCGATCTTAAATAGCCATCTAGATCGTGGCCATCCATTTTTGTTTCTTTTCCCTTCCTCCACTTCTCCGTCGCGTGCCCTCGTGGCCCACAACTTCTCAACGACGCCCATCCAAGCGAAACAATCGCGCTATTCCATCTCCCATATATATACATGGCGCGCACCATCGTTTTAGCTTTCCCTTTCATTCATTGATGCTTGAGAAACTATCATGTACATGTATAGCAATTACTTCCTCAATCTCTGAATAAATCGGTTTCTAAAGTTGTCTAAAGTCAAACCTTTTTAAGTTTCATCAAAATTATAGAAAAGAGCATCAAAATTACACCAACTTAGTATCATTGGATACACCATAAACTATATTCTCATAATGTGCTCATTTGGAGTCGTGGATATTTGTGCTTTTTTCTATCATGTGCTCTGCATAGTCCCTGATACTATACCCTCCATCGACTCAACACCAGTGGCGGAGCCAGGATTTTATAGCTGGGTATTCCGCGTACATAAAAAATTTCGATACAAATGTGTAATAGTAATAAGCAAAGTACAACATCTAAATATAGTGGCATAGTGCCATTGTCTCTAATAATTAAAAAAGATTACAATGCAGAATCCAATGCAAAAAAATTAGAAAACAAAATCCTAAATTTTAACTTTGAAGAATGGATCTGACACTGTTGTGCTACTGTGCTCACCTTGCTTCAACTTCAACGGTTCCGGAGCCGAAGGCCGAAGCCGAACCGAACCTTGGCCGTCGCGGGATGTCGGAGCGCCGAGCTCGCCGCCGCCCTCCGGTCGCCGCCTGCCCGCCTCTCCGGAGCCAGGGCGCTAGTCGCTAGGGCTGGGCGCCTGCCGCCGAGGCACAGCCGCGCAGGTCACGCTCGTTGCTCGACTAGACCGCTCGCGCAGCGCCGCAGCCGCAGGGCAGGGCAAGGGGAACTAGGGAAGGGGCGACGGGCCGACGGCAGAGGAGGAGGCGCCGAGGTGCCGCCGTGCCCCTGCTCTCTGCGCGCCTCCACGAGACCACGACTCCACGAGATTGGTTTGCTGCGAATTGGGAGCGTCTGCCTGCAGCCAGAATCGCTGCGAATTGGGAGCGGCCGCCTGCAGCCAGGAATCGACGCAAGCTTGTTTTTACTTTGGTGGGCTGATAGTCGCTGCTTCCTGTTGGGCTTTGGGCCTGATTTGCAACATCTGGCAACTATATAAGGTATACCTATATGTATTTATGTTTGTTTCTAAAATCTTGGGTATTCCTTGGCATACTGGGGAATACCCCTGGCGCCGCCCATGCTCAACACATGTATCAATGTTCTCTAAATCGTGTCTCAAGAGAATCCCTACCAACGAAAATGGAGAGCGTGATTACCGTACCAAACAGTTCTAGGAATACAAAATCATAACTAAAATGCTTCTTGAATCCCCTTATAGACAAGAAAAAAAACTAATTCACAAAGAATCATATATAATCCTTTGAGAAACCCAATCTCTGATAGACTGGTCCTAACCAGCTGCTACTAGGCCACACCTCGCTTCTCCTGCTATATAAACTGCTCAGCCCTCCTTGACCGTTGACAAATGATGGGCGGCGTATCTATCATCCAAACTTCGTGTTTGCCACTGCACAAGGCCATTCTGCTAGCCTACCCCTCAAGCATCCTTTCAGAGTTGACATTATGGTAGCGCTCCTACAACTGGTCTACTTTGCTCCACCCGCAATTTCCACTCTCTCAAGCTGGATAAGATATAGGAACTAGCTTTGCTCAGCTCCTCCATCCGTGTGATAAGGTCTCTTCTCCGAGAAACACCCCTGTGTGGGCAAGGCATTGGGGCGTGGGAGCGAGCCACCGAGGCGTGGGGCCGCTGGGGAGCCGGCGCGTGGAGCCATAAAGCCACGGGTGGAGGAAGCTTTGGACGGTGGAGGAAATCGGAGCGCCCAAAGGCAAGGAGGCCTCTTGAGCGATATATAAGGGATGAGAAAGCAAAGAAGAAAAATGAAGAAAGAGAGTATAAAAAAGGACATTATGGATATTTCATCCTTTTTATCTACCATGAAGAGCTGTTTTATAAAACTTTTCATCAAAACAACTTTAACTCCACAAGTGTCATCGTTGCTCATGATCCGAAGAAAAGAAAAGCAATTCCATGAACGAAGCAGAGCTATACCAGACAAACCCCTAACTTTTCCCAATTTTTGGCAATTTGGTCCTTTTTATGAAGAAAATTTACGTTCAGCCCCCTGAGAGACGTAAACTGATCTTTGGACCCTAGGGGTCGGCGCTAGGACTCAAGGCTCCAAGGTAACACGTGTTGGCGCCAGTACCTATGGCGCCTAGGTTCCTGGCCGCGCAACACCTGGGCATCTGAGGTGGCGTTGACGTGGCTGTTACCTCGGAGCTAGAATACGTCACCCCGAGGTCGGAGCCACAGATCTTGGCGTCGAGCTCGGAGCCAAGATCTGTGGCTCCGACCTCAGAGCCACGTACTCTGGTGCTGAGATACAAAACCTAAACAGGGCGCGGCCGCCGCAGCTGCCTCTCACGCTCTGTCTCTCCCTCTCTATCGCGCTCTCTGTCTCTCCCTCTCACCGCCGCCGCTGGCCAGCCCCGCCGTCGCCCGCGCCTCCTCCGCCGGCTGACGCCCGCGCCATCGCAGCAGGCCGCCGCCCGCCGTCCCCCGCGCGCCGGTCGCCTCCCTCGCTCCCCCCATCCGCTCCCTCAGTCACCCTCGTCACCCCAGAGCTTCCTCCACGCGCACCAGCGGCGAGGGCGGCCCCTGCTTCTCCCCGGTGTCCCCGCCGGCCAGCGGGCTGCCCGCCGCCGCGCCTGGCGGCGCCGTCGCCCAACGCCCCACCGGCTCCCTTGGCTCCTAATGACGCCACCGGACCCCAGTGATGCCACCCCCCTCTGGGAGCCATCTCAGGTATTTTTTTCTTTAGTTTTTTTAATTGAGTTAGTTTAGATAACGTAGTTATTTATTTTATATAGTTTTGTAGTTTGGCAAAGCTTTTTAGGCCCCATTCGCGTGCCCTTAAACCCGGCTTGATCCGCTTCTTTTTTCATCCGGAACAGTGTTTTCCTCTCACAGATTCCTCCAGAATTCCTCTAAACCATCCAAATTCCTCCAGAACCATACCATCCAAACGAGGCCTTAGTTATTTAGTGATTTAGTGATGTAATTTAGTTAGCTAATTTAGATAGATATTGAGACAATTTAGTTATGTAGGTAGTTAGTATATTTATTTAGCTAATTTAGATAGATAGTTAGATAGTTAGGTAATTTAGTTATATAGGTAGTACTTGTAGTAGATGTAGTTAGATAGATAGGTGGTTTAGATTAGATACTTATTTATTTAGGTAGAGGGTCGAAAACTTTTATATGTATGTAATTTAGTTATACTCGGTTGACAAAAGATGTTCGACAGTCCTCCGAGGGGTATCCCACGAAGGTAGATTGATCGGCAGAGATGCGTGTAATCAAGAACAAGAAGGCAACAGAGACATAAGAGTTAGACAGGTTTGGGCCGTCAGCACGACGTAATACCCTACTCCTGTGGTATATTGGTTTGTATTGGCTATCGTATGATCTTGCGTGTGTTTTGAGGAGGTCCCCTACCCGCCTTATATAATCGGGGGTAGAGTTACAAGTCGGTTAGATCTAGAAGATATCCGGTAAGTAGTAACAGGTTACAGGAATCATGGGATCGTAACATGTCCTAACAGATTACGCCGTATCTTTAGGATATCTTTTTGGTGTCTTGCGGGGCGCGTCGAGCAGCGCCGTGCTCCGTAAGGCTTCGTCTTGTGGGCTGGACCACCACTGGCAGCACAGCCCATGTAGTCTGCCATGGGTATCCGGGGTCGTACCCCCACAGCTAGTCCCCGAGCGCCTTGTATCCACTGTGCAACACCGTCTTGAGCTTATTCGAGTAGGTGTAAACAAAGCCGAGCAATCAGACTCATGGTCCGACCACCCTAATGAGTCATCGAGCAGTTGTGGACCGTGATCGACTAGCTTAACTGTCCGGCCGAGCCCGGGCTTACCCAAGAAAGGCTTGCTAGAAGGATGTAAGGAACTGAAGTTCAAAATCAAAAGTTTCCTCGCTGTGAACCAAGTGTGCCCACTTAGAGTCCGGTCACGAGAAAGGGAGATAATCTTCTTCAACTTCGGGAGGCACGGAACCTTCCAATGAACATATTAATGAAAACACACTCACCGTAAGGTGAAGTGTGCCCACTTAGTCCCTGAGCCTGACAGTAGGTGACGTGGTCATGTGGTGCCAGGGTCCAGAAAGTATAAGAAAGATAGAAGACCAGCCGAGCAGGCAACCAGTCCACGGGCCGAGCCCTGAACTAAAAAGCGCACATTCACCGCAAGGTGAAGTGTGCCCACTTAGTCCCCGAGCCTGACAGTAGGTGACGTGGTCACGTGGTGCCAGGGTCAGAAACAGCAGTAACTAGGAAAAAAGTCTCCAGTATGGTGAGAAACCAAATCATAATGATCACGTAGTCCC